AGTAACTTAGGTAAATTAAAGTTAGCTAGGTGATGATGTTAACCATCACAGAAGGAAAACATTGTTTTTGCCCCGTTTCTTCCTCTTCTCCAAACGCATAAGGTCATTGACCTGGACCAGAGGTCTGTCACCATGGTAACTAGTGCTGTCGCAGACACCCTGGAGTGTTGGGTTGCATTATGAAGCAATTTTTTCCACAAGCAAACAGGTGGAAGGATCCTTGGTCCAACTTTATTTCTTGAATCTTTTTAGCCAAAAAATAAAAAAAAACATTTAAAAAAAGCAAATCCTTACCCACCGAACCTAGTTCTTTTAGGACTGAAAGCGTAAACACAACATCAATGTAGCTAGGCCAAGCCAAGCCATTTACGCACAGCGCTTTCGTACCCCAGACTCCAACAAAACTAGTGCGAGTTCCACTACCAGCGGCCCCTGACCTCGACCTGACCTTCAGCATGAATCCCCCGTGTCCAGACGTGGTACGAAATACCACCGGGGCTCAATATGGCGTCTGTCTATCCCACCAGTAAGCTCGGAATGGAGAATTAATCTGTGTAAAAAGCGGCTAACTTCTTCCTTCCGTACTACAGTATTTCAGTACGTCAATGTCCCGGGGTGACCTCCACTTGCAAAGATGAAACCATTCAACAGTTACGAGTATAGTACATCTGAGAAGCGCCAGAGCAACAATGACCAACTAGGGAAAGCACATTTGGACAGAGAAATGTTTCCATATTTCATTCCTTCTCGTGATCAGAGAAGCGACCGCTGATTGACAATTATTCTCCTTCACTGCACTGACAAAAAGAACTTACGACCATTGTCATAATGGGCCTTGGTCGGTTGAATACTAGTATACCGTGACATCCATGACGTAGTGCGTGTTGATTGGTCTGGTTATGATTTTGTTAGATGTACAATCTCCAAACCTGTCAGCACCCTCCTCAGAAGAGTGCACGATGTTTTAGGTTCCTACCGTTCACATACACTACAATTTGGCACACAAAGAGACATTTTCCAGTACAGTGTAGTCTACTTTGTGTCTGGAACTCTGGATTGTGTACGACCAGACAGAACCAAAGTACCAGCTGGATAGAGTCTTGTTCAGCCACCCAATAACGGTGACATCTTTACCCCTTTTAACATGTCCTCGGCCTCGCCGTGTGTGTCCTGGCCCGTCAGTACGTGTGCGGGAGGAAGGAGGAATAGTCCGGCAGCCGATAGCAGCTTCCCTCGGCATTTCCTGTCGTCGGTTCTGGCTTCAGTCAGCCCTGTACGAGCTCGAGTTTGTTGACCGGACAGCATTTTCTCCGCAGGTTGCAGAGGTAACGTTAACGTGTATGTTGAATATTTGCTCTCATGAAGTTGTCCATGCACCCTCAATAAATGTCTCGAAAAAGATTCTGCAATTTTGCAAGTTCATGGAAAACCATCCCGTCAAGTATAATCACAGAACATCCAGGTATAATCATAGACCATCGGCACAAACCCATTGTGACAGTCGGTTGAAGAAGAGACAGATTAGGAGCGATCTAAACAGGACTAAACCCCCTACTTGACCGTAAACTCTACTCTATTCTACCCATAACTTGTTGGCTTTCAACCTATCCCGTACACCATTCTTCCTCTTTGTACCTTCTGTCAGTTTAGGATACGTATCCTGACAATGTTGTCAACTGGGGTGGGGAAGGACTTGAGTAGCACGTTAACGTTATAATAAACCATCATATCGACCTGCATATTTCTGGTACATAAGGAGTATACATTTTCTATCTAGATCTATAAGGATAATTTTCCTTAAAAATACAATTTTGACATCACACCGCCACAGTCACTGAATCCCTGACCGAAAATGAAACAGCCCAGACATTATCTAAGCAAGGTAGATCTTTAGAGCTTTGTGGGAGTACGTAAGTCTCTTTTTAGTGTACATGATTCGAAGAGGTTCGAGTGCCACAGATGAAAAGGCCGTTAAAGCCCCGACACGACGGAGATTACAGTGTGTCCTCTTCTCCTTCTTGGAAGGGATAGAAGACGCAATGTGATCTTTTCTCTCTAACGACTTCTTTCTTGAAAGAATGATCAATGAACACTACAAAACTATGAACACACGTGGGTTGGTTTCTAGCCCTGATGAAGTGAAAGACTTGAAGCATAGCTGTCAGCCATATTTGTTTACATTCTGGTAGTTTTTGGTGGTACCACAAACCCAGTGTGCCTCATGTTGGGTGTTTTACCTCCAATATATTATGTCAGAAATGTGAGATAATTTCACAAATATGTTGAAAAGTGGAAGTAAAATTACAATCACACGAATATTTCTTTAAATAAAATATTTCAATTTTTGGTGCAAAAAAAAACTGTTACGTATTGCCCCTTTAAAACATCATGTCTACGGTTGACGCCTTCTGGATTTCAACAAAATGGTCGGAGGATGAAAAACTAAATCCGTTGCTAACAACGAAATTTTAAAGACATAAGTCTGCCTGTTTCTCCGAGCCGGTGTGCAAATATCTAGCATTAGAGACTTAACGTCTGTCTCGTCAATGATTATTTACTCTAGAGTACCTGGCTTTGTGTGGCCCTGGGCCCACCGACGTCACGGGGTGTGGGTTTGTTCCTGTTGTCGTGAGACTTGTCACAGCGTTTGTCGCTCCTTCCACTCTACCGATGATGTGTGTGGTGGAAGTCGTGTGAAGTGTTTTGACTGCGCAGCGAGGAAAGATGGTGTAACAGACACAGGTGTTGACAAGAAAGACTGGCCTCAGGCCTCAGATATTTGCTATAAGAATAGCAAATATATGTATCTGTACAGAAGGCATGACCAAGTACATGTACACGTAAAGTACAGCTGGTATAACCGCCCCTTGGCGTAACACACCCGCTTTGCAGGCACGTGGAGAGGCGGCAGCTGTCTACATTACACCGAACGACTTGTTACACCTTAACTCTGCACATCTAACTCTGTTAAACATTGTTCAAAACTATCTAGTGATGATGCCCTTACTGTACTTGGTGGCCTCAAGTTCTACTCGTAGCACACCAGCTTCGCAGGTACGTGGTGAGGCGGCAGCTGGCTATATTACATCATGGAGGTAGAAACACATCTTTTAACTCCATGATTACACTAAACGACTTGCTACACCTAACCTTTGTACATCTACGTCTAAACAATGCTCACAGCTATCTAGTGATGATGCCCCTTCTGTACTTGGTGGCAGCGAGTTCCACTTTACGATATACAAGGATCCCGCTCATAATACACTCAGGAATGTAAATGTTTCCCTAACAATTCACCCCCGGTCACACCAGCAAGGCAAACGGTTCTTCTAAGTCTCATATCAGTCAGTTGATGTAATGTAAATTCGATATCGTTGACCGCAAATGCTTATTTACATTTGATCTTATTATAGACGAACTGTTTGTGTTAAACATTCCACGTACGTTGAGCTTCTTTCGCGAGATCTTGTACATATGCCACGGATTCATCCCTCTCATAGAATAAAAGTAAAACAAGTGGTCACTGCTTCGACTTTGCTTCTGTTATGATGTTATTTTCACTATAGGACCAGTAGCAAGTGACAGGGACCAGCAAACATTTGAAATAGAATCTATGGTGAAACCATGAAAGGCACGCCCTTTAAACACATTAACCTTTAGCTCAAGTCTTTTCCCCCACCCAAAAATTTGTCAGGTTTCCTTGGATACAAAAAAGCGCACATATCTGTCAGATCGCGCGACGGGAATGCGCCATACAGTATTTGTTTTCCCGCCTAATTTCCTCTTGAGTGGCTGAATGAGTGAATGACAGTCACGGACAAGGTACGTCAGCGCTCACACACCTAGTACCAAAGCACGTCAGGAGAACGCACTGCGCCTGCGCGAAATAGCACTTCGGCAGAACGTCTCATTTGAGGTCGTATTTCCGTGCTTGAAGATGACATCCCGTTTATGGTTTCCAAATGTTGTGTCGGAAAAGATATCGTCTGCAACAGGCAAATTAACGAAAATTCGCGTTTCGCGCAGGCGCAGTACGCTCTGTCGACGTGCTTGTTACCGATAGGTATCAGTCACGTGGACAGCGGAGATGAGTGACGTAACTGTGTGTGACAGCACAGAGACCAGTGACGTACTTCGTCCGACAACAGAGACCAGTGACGCATCTTCATAGAACAACATAATATTGAGTTTGCCACAGAAAAGTTGATTGTGGCGTTTTTGTCTTGCTTGAGAAGGTAAACCAAGCGGTCATGAACACTAAATCATTTTAGTTTCCTTCTCTCGTCATCTGTGACTTCCTGACTACTGAAGTCACCGTTACGTCATTTCCTGGTGCCTGGGGAGTGTTTGTGTATCAAGTTTCACGAAGTCCGCCTGATGGATGGATGTGTCACTAAAAATATAGGGTGATCAGCAAAACCACTAATTGATAGAATTGTTGAGTAATACAAGGGGCAGACGACAGGGGCGGAGATATTATCAACCTTGCAATCCTTCACAGGTACTTCAGTACACATTCCTGTCGGTCAGGATGAAGTGCTACCCCCCAGTCCCTCTCGAGCGGGCCTGCACTCCAGCTCTGCTCGGCCAATGGCCAAAGGGGGATCCCTGCATGAAGAGCTGCTGTGCTGCCAATCATGGTCCACCATTGTTCCCAGGAATTCAAGAGGATGCGTGCGGAATTGTTTTCTCCTTCGACTCTCCTCTGTCCCCCGGACTAAAATTTCCCGGGGCCAGCACATAAGAGCCGCCGCCTCTCTGCGCGTCCTCCGCATTCCGACCCCTTCCAGTGGCGAGGTGTTCCCCTCACATGCTGGGGAGAGACAGCTACATCTGGTGCTCATTCTACCGCCTTTTCCCTGCTCACCAGGACACGGGGAGCTAGCCAAGCCTCCGCGAATCAAATTAGCCAGGTCCAGACGCCAAGCAATTATAATATCAGTTATATTCCTTCGGACTTTGCCGTTGCGCGCCCAAGTCCGCCGGAGAGAGCTATGACCATGCCTAAATCGCCCAGGAAGCGGCTCTTCCACCTCCTGTACCTGGTCAGCACCCTAGCGGCGGGGACAGGTGACCAGTAAGTCTTAACCTGTTCTAGATTGTATCCGATTTCATAAGGACTGGTGGGGAACTGTAGATATATCTTTAACTGGCACCCTACCGTGGTAAGTTCTGTCCAGTCTGCCGTCGTCTTTGCTTCCCAGCTTGTAGCCCGGTACTTTACAGTACATCCCGTAGCTTATTGCCACGCTAAAGCCGTAAGTCTATCAAAGAAGACAAGTTGTTTGATATCATTAGGAAGCGTTTATGATAACTTGCCATCGGCGTGTCCGACGAATGGTTATTGATGTAAAAAAAGGGGCCAAAACCCTGTGGCCCTTGTAACGTTGTTTCTAACATATCGACGCTTCTGTATATCTGATTTCTCTGTTATCATTTTATGCGGGTTTTAAACGATATGTTTTCCACGTTTTCGGAACATACGCATACTCTACTTGTGGGATAATAGAATATATATACAAAACTGCGTCATGTCATAGAGTCAATGGTTAACTGTGCATTCTTCGACGCCTTTGTAAAGACTACGCACTTACTTTGGATTAACAAATCCGTCGACTATGTGGTAGTGGAGCGTTTGGTGTTGGCCAAATGACGACTACATGTATATGACTTTGACGCTGGCGGCGATTGATTTACCTTAAGATTAAGGATCATAGATTAAGATTAAGGAAAGATTTAATAGCTGGAGAAGTCAAATCTTCTGATTATGATATACTTTATTAGAATTAGTGTTATATCTACCGTTTCTGCTGTTGTTGTTGTTGTCAGAAAAAAAAACTGCAGTAAGTAAGAAGACCATGTAAAAAGAACGCCCCTCTCTGTACAAACAACAGACGCCCGACCCCCCGCCTGCCGCTGAAAGACGAATGTACGTGTGTTGTGACAATGAGGTCATGTACAAGAAGGATACGGAAGGATATGTCTTTATCCCATTGTCACTTTCCCGGTAGAGCTGTGTGCATAAGGAGCAGTGGAATGACTCTTAGTGTATATATAGGGAAGGTGCGCCCATAAACTTGGACTCGGATATTTACCTTAGTTTAAGACATGTTGTTCTAACTGAAACAACTTACTGTGTTCAGCATTGAACTGTGCGTGTGTCATTCTTACTGCGTTGTCGTTGAAAGCAAGCCTCTCTCTTTGTTGCTTACCTATATTGTTGGCGGTCAAAAAACCGTCAAAACGAATAGGTTCCCCGCACACCTGTAACTATATCCGAATGTTTACCAAGTTTCCCTGCTGAACAATATGGCAACCACCCTTCGTTTATAGGCCTGTGTTTTTTAACACGTCCACGTTAAACGTGCAACGGAAAGGATCAAGTAGAACAAATCCGAGCCCGCTGTAAGAACAAGCTCGTCAATTGAAGTCTTCTATGTACATAATCGTTGTGGATTAAGTGGGCTTTACGGCTTAAGGCTCGGTTCACGCCGGGTAGCAAGGCTCGTGAGTCAGGTCTGCCCTGCTAGGCTTCTGATCAACATTTCCGCTTGGAGTGAATTCGAAGGCAGGCATTCTTAGCTTTTTCTGTAATATTCCATGTCGGCTTGTTTTTCTTTGATATAGCGTTGTCGGACACACTGAGAGTTCGCAATCGTTTCTTTCTATCTTTAGCATGAGAAAATGTCTGTGCAAAACGTTCAATCACGCTCGCGGTGGGTATACTCCCCCGCTGGCGACGGTGTTTTGCGTATTTCGGAGGATGTCGACTAGCACAACTTTCTTTACTTTGATCTCTAGACTGCGGGGCATATAAACCTTCCCTTTGTATTTCAGGCAAGGAATGATGCTGAAATTGTGTCATTCGGGCAGACAAGTGAGACTGGTCCATCCATATTCCAGTGACTTGTACCCAGTTAGTTAGATTTACGATGAACGTTAAAGCAACACGACCTTGTTTTTAATCTTTTTTTATCTCATGAAATAAATTCATGCGTGCCTCACGGCAAATATTATTATTAATCTAATCACGAGAAGTTAATCATGAACCTACCTTGTTGAGATTTTTAGGCGAAAAAAATTTTCCATTCTATTTCCCCCTTTAGTCTAGATGTTACCGAAACCTACAAATTACAGAAAAGTAGCAAAAGAGGCGCGTCACAATATGGTAAATGCTAGTGCCCTAAGAGCTAGATGCATTGATAACTATCTTGTGTACAACTATCAATTTCTCTGTGCAAGAGCCCCTCTGATGGCAACGTTCTTGTTGTTTGTCTACAGGTCGCTGTCCACCGTGGTGGCTCTCGGTGCGAACATCATCTGTAACCGGATCCCGGGGCTGGTGCCGCGGCAGCGCGCCATCTGCCAGACCCGCCCCGACCTGATCGTCGCCATCGGGGAGGGCGCGCAGATGGGCATCGACGAGTGCCGCTACCAGTTCCGCCACTCCCGCTGGAACTGCACCGGCATGGACAACGACAACGTGTTCGGGAGGGAACTCAGGATAGGTGAGCCGTCGTAGATGATATTTTCCTTTCCCATTGTAGCCGATTATCATTCGATTTTTTATGCATGAAGGCGATGAACAAAAACCTTGTCCAGCTTACACTTATGACGCCATTAGGTATTATAACCTCCAAGCATATGCATATCTATTGGTGGTTGCAAGACGATATCAAGTTGGCAAGATATTATCAAACTGCATAACTGACAGGGCAGTATCCATTTGCCATTTGCCTTTGGCTGGCGAAAAAAAGGATACAACTCCAAAACGCCTAAAACACTTCAAAAATAAGCCAAAACCTAAACCTCTGCTTCGACAGTAACCATGGCATTAGATGTTTTTAAACATGTTAAAACATGTTGAAGATATGCGAGTAACTGGCCTAGAATAGTACAAACAGTCGTATGTTGTTGCGATAGTACATATGTGCTGTTGACGACTTTCAGCACCAAGGACAGAGACCAATCGTGCCAAGCACAACAATCCCCATGCTATATATTGCTGTAATTGACGCTAGTCTGTCTGCTACCATGGTTAGGTTTAAATTCACCGCTCTTCTAGTCTCTCCTAACTATCAGGCCGGAATATAACCTAATAACCCAGATGCACATAGGCTAATTCGAAACAGTATTTGGAGAAAAATAACACCTTCAAACGAAACACGTACCGCCGAATGAAGGAAACCCATAGGAGATACAACCTATTACCGTGAACCATAATGGGTTCCGAAGGGCTGACATTTCTAAATCCTGTTACTAAAGATTCCGAAAACACTCAGGGGGTGTCGAAGAAAGGAAACAACAAAGAAAAGCTGGTTAGCGAACGAGTCCTGTGTACAGTTACAGGGAACACGCAACATCTCCTACTGCCAAAGCTTTAACTACCCCTGACGGGGCAACGTACGACAAAAAAAGTTGCCGACTGTACAGTAGCAAACCAGCCCTCGAGGTAACGTGCGATCTGACCGTACGTACGCCAGGGCAGGCCAATTTACACACAGGAAAAATTCCGCGTGTAAATCTGGACTTTTAATCGGTCAAACAAAATACTCTAGCTTACTCTAGTATTTTTCATTTGCACTGGTTTTTAGGGCGAAAAAACTGTATTTTCTAAGTTTCTGGTCATTCTTACTGTAGTAAATTGGGTTAATACTATCCCATACAATAGCATACTGATATCTCCGAGGTAAACATGCAATGTCGCTGAAGGAATACGGTTGCTTGTTTTGTATCGCAGGCTTGTTCTAGTTATTTATGGGCGGTACCCAAAAATAAAGAGACACTGTGGGAGCTTGTTATTGGGCTATTTCAGATGCTTCAAGTATGAAATAATGACGAACGTGTGATAAGAAATGGCAGTAAATACTGAACCATGTATCAGTCAATATCAGACAGATTTTCTCTTCCATTAGATTTTTTCTTGTTTTGTCGCCCTGAAATTGCTTTGGATTCCTTTAAAAACTAGCCCCCGAACCTTTCCCCGATGCAGCCAAGGATCGTGGAGCAGTGATTGACAGCTCTATGGACAGCTTGTTGACAGGGGGGTTGCCAAGTTCGCGTTCCGTACCAGGTGTCAAAATACGGGCGGCCGTCGCTCGGTGTACCAGCGGGACCACCCGCCTAGCCGTCACCGCCTTCTGTCGCTCCCTGCATACATACATACATACATCAACAAACCGTTCAAACAACCACTCAATCAACCAATCAAACAGCGTTGATTTTAACATGACAGTTGAATCCTTTCGACGCACCATCTGGTAGAAATGGTTTTCTTCTGTCCCATGTCCAAATATACCGATGCCAACTAAGAATAGGTCAGAAATTGAAAGGCGAAAGAATTTGGTTTGTTTTTGAAAGCCGAAGCACGGACTAAGATAGTTAAGCCTTAAGGCCTGGCGAATTATTTGACATTTTTATACGCCAGATTTACCGTGGGTCTTGTGCAAGTGTCTTATCAGTAGGCTAATGCCCTAGGGTCTGTTAACACCCCTGTCGTACAGGTTTACTGTTGACACCAGAACGTTAGCCTCTAACAGGCTTCAGAAGCGGCTGGAAAGGTAGAACTTTGCCAAATAGACAGATAACATGCGTGAGAGGCTAACTGTACTCCTTTAGCGGACCATGGCATGTTATCTGTCTATTTGGTCAATTTCTACTCTTTCCAGCCGCTTCTGAAGCCTAGTAAAGGCTACAGAACGACGCAACAAGGGCAAAAACGTGATAGTCATCTCAGGGATGTCTGTCTGAAGGCTGTTACCTGACAGGTCTTTCCGAAGGTCCTTCAGAACAAGACCGCATGTCTCCGCTCAAGTTTTCCCACAGCAGGCATGATAAAGACTCCACTATGTACGTGAACGTACCAAGTGTTGATTTGTAACACGACGTAGCATGTTATGCTGTTCTGGTTTACAGTAATCACGACTTGAAAAAGAGTAAATATGAAGCTATGCCTTTTCGAAAGAAAATTCAAAACATTTGCCGTGTACACGAAAGCTACTACGAAAGCTCGTGTGTTAGTAGTTACATGTTTAAAGTTAAAACGTTTGTTCTCACCTAGAGAGCGACAAGTCACTCTGGTTTTCTTCAATAGTCTGACTGTGGTCGAAAACACGAGCTATATGTGAGAACAGTCTCTTGTGTTGGAACAAACGTATAACTTTAAACACGTACTTCAAAGCTGTTCTTTGAACTGCATGAGTGCGGAACTATCTAGCTATAGATGAGAACAATCTCTTGTGTTGGAACAAAAGATTTAAGTTTAAACATACACACCAAAGCTGTTCTTTGCTCTCCAAAACTATGCTGAGGAGACCCCTGGGGCTCTATACGCGCGTGTGTACGGAGTTCCCAACATTTCTCGCTGATGTCTGTACAAATATCTCCGCACTCTCAGCCCTGATCAAACGCTCACTCGGCAGTGAGAGGTGCTGACAGACACGGGAACGCAGCGGTTTGCGGGCGGGCGGAATTAAAAGCTGGGAGAGACTCTTAAGTACTTCCCGCTATGTGCAGAGTGTTTGCCCATTCTCTCACTGATATGGATGAGATGGATGGTTCTTACAATGTTTGACAGGAAGAGAGAAAAACAGGCCTAGGCATCCTATGATAGCCCCAAAATCAGATCACATAGATAATCTTTACAACTGGATTATGCTTTAGAAATGTATTAAACCCAGATGAAAAAGACAAACGAAAACGAAACTAAATAGTGAAGACTCGGAAAATACAATATCAGTTCAAGTCATCATATCACGTTGAATGGTAGCATAGTCTTTAGAATATTTTCTTCAGTAATAGTCTGCTATCATTTTGTTTTTGAGCTTTAGAAACTAGATCATTCAAAAGTATATTTTATCCCTATCTGCTACGTACGTACGCGTACAGACACTCTAAGGTGAAAAACTATGCGTTCCTCTGAGTTCTTGTGGTTACCTATAGACACTGGCCTGGTCCCTGTCAAGAGCCAGCGGTGTCCCTTACACACGGCCACTCGTCTAAAACCTCAAACATACTCTCAAGCACACAATTGGCATATCTTTGACCAAGAACTGCAACCTGAACGTCTTTCTAGAACTTTTAAAGTGAGCGATCTGACGGAGGGAGAACCCGCGAGGAATGTGGCCAAGTGCCGGGCGATGTGTCTACGAGTGGCGGTGAGTGACGGGCGGGACGTGCCAGGCATAGCCCGCCACCGTCCGCGCAAATAAAGCCGCGGCCTCCCCCGGGGGGTGCGTGACGGAGAAGTGTCGGCTGTCCCCACTTCACATTCCCCCGGGTGATGTTGACAAGGCTAATCCGTGAGATCATCGCCCAGAAAAAGAACAACGTGCGGACAGACGGATCAATCAACAGGCTAATGTGACAGTTTGGGCAACCCTAAGTAGCGGGACATCTGAGCCGGTTCCCGTACCTTTAAAGGCATCCAATACAATTTCAGGGTGCACGTGGACTTTCAAAGTTCATTTTATGGTCATTCTTTTAATGTAGTGAGCTAAATCTATCATATAGATATGATCTGATCTGATCTGATCGTGAGGCAAAAATACGATGTCATTGACGAAAAACGGTTCCTTTTTTCTGGTTCTACATCTAGGTACAATGTACTAGCATTTATGGGTGGTACCTCCAAATAAAGGAACCCCTCGTGTGGCTTATTTTGGGGCTATTTCAAACCCTACAAGTATGAAATAATGACGAAAATGTGCTAAGAAATGGCAATAAATGTCAATATCGTACAGAAATCCTCATCCAGTATATTTTTTTTTTGCCGTCCTGAAATGCCTGTACTCTACACTTAAGAGGTTTGTGGTTAAAAGAACATGACACGTTTCCTCCCCTCTTCCTATGTACAAGTGGAAGGTGGAGGCATTCTTAACATGCCGCTGTCATACTTTCCCTTTCAGTCGTCCGACAGGTGTGTGGCAGGTGCAAATGTGCAAAATATCATGTTATACTTCTCGCGTATACTTTTCAAAACGTTGGCTGGCAATATAATGTAGACACATGTCCAAAGACCTAGACATAAAGGCTCACTGTGCTACGAGTTATCCTGGCAAGATCACATCTTTTGGTTTTCCCAGACACAGCTGGCCGAAGACGTACTTAGCGCAAATCCTATTTCTCTAGGCCCTTATGATAATCTTCTTAAAGACATTGTCAATCTCTCCGAAGCTAACGAGAACGTAAACTATTTGAACTGCTCACAGAGCCTCCTTCAGTTAAACTTTCTTCATCAGTTCTCAGATGTTTGCGGAAGGACTAGAACAAACACACAGTAAAAGAGGCTACATTGTCGTTTGTTCCCGTAGCGCAGTTGCCATGGCGCGCTCCCCTACGATTGCTGACTGACAGGGTTTACTCACCTCACTTACTGAAGAGAGTATTTCAGCCAATTTTATTTGTGGCCGGTGTTTGATTTGGTGACAGAAGAGTTCAATTTTTCATTTCCCGTTCCTCCACTGAGGGGGATGGTTTGCCGAGCAACACGCGCAGTCCTGGAGACGGCCTGACCGTGTGTGTATGTCTCCTTTATACCTCGCGGACAGCGGGGACAGAATGAATCTCTCCGGGTCGGGGTTAAACCCACACGACCTTTCCCTCCCACACAATTTTCGTCAGACTCCACCAGACATCGTTGTGTTAGAAGAGCAAGTCGAGACAGCGAGCAAAGTGCTGTTGCCATTTCAGAACAATCGTAACATAGATATTTTTCTATTGTGGAGTACTCTCACGGCCCCCAAACGACACAAAATGTGGTCAAGAACAATTCCTTGACTGTACTGCTCAGAATTCAGACGGGCCAAATACAACACAGCTGAGTCCAAGTAATAAGATAATAGGATAGCTAAAATGTACCCCGCTTGGTGTGAATTTTAGCATTGAAAGTTGAGTAGAATGTGAACGTACTGGGATATAGGATATCTGTGACCAAGCGACTTAGATTGCATTTTGGCCTGAAATTTTTTATACTAGTATCATAAAGACTGGTTGGCGGATGGAGCTATGACTAAGGAAAAGGAGAGCACATAAAGGTAAAGAGATGACTGAAGGAAACTGTACTAAAGATGTCTTGCTTTTTGTGTTCCGTATACAGGAAGCAAGGAAGCTGCCTTTACCTACGCCATCAGCTCGGCGGCGCTGGTGCACGCTATCGTCACAGCCTGCAGGTAGGCACCTTTTCCCGCCCTTTCTCCTACAGACCAGGCAAATGTTTACTCCAAGCAGATCTTTGGGCCGCTGCAATACAGCATCAGATTGGCAAGAAAGTATCAAAATGGCCAGGCCACCCAAGGCTAATGTGCACAGGTGGCCAATGGTCACAGGCGGCCAATACAGACCCTTGCCCCAGAGAATCTGCTTGAAGATATTAAGGCAAATGTACCCCTAAATTCGAAGATTACGAGTAGGTCTGTAGGTTAGAAACTGGGCTGGCCGTTGTCGTTTCAACAAGCCTCACACCTTTAGAGGCTTTAAAAGTTTGTTTTATGATTGGTATTGAAAATTAGCATAGCTTCTATGCTCATTCCGTCATTTGGACTGATACACACCAAGGCGCTTCTCGGTCTAACCACTCCCTCCCTCCCACCTGTTCCAGCCAGGGGAACATCTCCGACTGCGGCTGTGACCGTACGAAGGAGGGCGACCTGAACGACGAGGGTTGGAAGTGGGGCGGCTGCTCCGCCGACGTCAAGTACGGGCTGCGCTTCTGCCAGAAGTTCGTGGACGCCCGCGAAGTGGAGCAGAACGCGCGCGCTCTGATGAACCTCCACAACAATGAGGCTGGTAGGAAGGTGTATACAACATTTTGGTTCAAAATTTCGCGTAGAATGCAGATATTGTTTTCCATTTCTTGTATTGTTGTAATGCAGGGTGTGGCGTGATGCTATCATATAGTTGTTTGTTGTGTCGCCATCTTTTTCTATAAGTAACTACGCTGTCATTTTGCTTCGTAGAAGACAAGTCTCACATAGGGCATTTTTTGCTTTGATGATGGCAATCAAAGCAAATACCGATGTGGCAATACCGATTGAATAGCTCGTATCTTTGCTTTATGCTGATCATTATGAATATCAGTATTTCTTTATTTGAGTTATCTTCATCCAACAATAAACGTTGTTCAATGATCCCATAACCATATCACAGCTCAGGTATATAGAACACTCGTTCTAAAGCGCACACTTAATATCAGGCTAGGTGTAATATAAGACACCAATCTATATAATGTCCTTGGAAACACTTGAGTGTTATCCTATGTCTGTTTCTTTGTTGTCTAACGCCGTTGTTCGCCCCTGTAGGTGATTGACCAACACACACGTCTGGAGTGTAAGTGTCACGGGGTTTCAGGCTCCTGCACCATGAAGACATGTTGGATTACCCTCCCACGCTTCCGAGAGGTCGGCAACATCCTCAAGGAGAAGTACCACCACGATGCTCAGCTCGTGGAGGCCGTCCGCGCCAGGCGCACGCGCAGGCCGACGTTCCTGAAACTGAAAAATTCTCGGACATTCGAGAAACCTCGCGAGATTTCCCTCGTGTACCTGCGCGGGTCACCGAACTATTGCGAGCGTGACGAGGAGACAGGGTCGCTGGGAACTCACGGGCGGAGGTGCAACCGGACGAGCCCGTATCAGGACGGGTGTGACCTGATGTGCTGCGGGAGGGGCTACAACACGCACCAGTTCGTCAAGACGTGGCAATGTAACTGTAAGTTCCACTGGTGCTGTTACGTCAAGTGCAACCAGTGCAGTGAGCGGACCGAGGAGTACACCTGCAAATGATCATGACGTCAACACTAGAAATCATGACGTCAAACCACAAATCATGACGTCACACTACAAATGATGATGTCTACACTAAAGATCATGACGTCTTCACAACAAATGATGACGTCATTTTTGACCAGACCAAACGTTATAAATAAAATGGTCACCTTCACAGAACAATCATATGTTGACAAGAAAAGTGGACGTGATCGCCAAAAGTTAAAACAGTGTACAGTGAAGCGACGATATGGATGTAATATAGCTTCCTACTATGATGGATGTAATTCCAGTGGTGAGAATGAACGCGTATTTCTGTGCGGTTGAATCCAATGGATGTTATTTTGTATATAGACGAAGATGTGTGTGAAGTTTCGAAGGGTTATACTTTGGAGATGGAGTCTCTGGAAAGAAGCTCCGCGACTTTGACTTTTAAAGTGAATCTCAGCAATATAGCCATTCAATACGTGCGACATGTTGAAACATTTTTTTCCTTTACAGAGTTAGTAATGGCTTAATTAGTTTTCTAAGGCTATGGAAAGGAAGAAAACTGTCTTTTCACCACGTGAATAAATTTTTGTGTTCTTAATAGTTTTTTTATTAGATATGGTTTGTGATGTAGTATACGAAGTATAC